GTACTTATTTAAGTATATTATCACTGCTTTGCTGTAAAATAGTTAATACTTTGTGACCGAAATAATAATTTGAAATGTACCTACCTCCTGCAAATGGATGTATTTGGCCAAATTCTCCACTTTACTCCGCTGTTTATTGCCAATCTCGTTGACATCCCTCCAAATATGTACGGCAGCTCAGACATAATGGTATCAAGCACATTTTAAACAAGTTATAAATAGGTTTCAAGCAGATCGTAGCTGTTTAACGATCGACAAGGTAAAACCACAACTTTGTCCAATTCAGCACCATTTTGTCATCTCATGTCGGTTGTAAACAATTTGGCCTTGTTATTCTAACATCCAAGCCATTTTCATTCCAATAATAACTAATTGAACCCTTTGTTAAGGGTCCTTTTGTTAAGGGTATCAAAATAAATATTTACACAAAATAGAAAAAATGCAGCATTTTATCACCCTGTAAAATGTTGCTTGGCAAAGCTGTCACATGGCAAAGCAGTCACATGGCAAAGCAACAAGGCCGTGACAGGGGGGGTGAATTTTTCACGAAGATAGAAGAAGGCTGCGTGAAATGGACTATAAAAACTAAATACAATCATAAAAACGTTTGTTTTATTTCTTGTAGCGACAATATGAATATGTCGTACTATAAATTAAATGTTGATTGTTGGTCTTACAACACTACTATTACTGAGTGCTTTTGCTTTGCTTTAATCTTCAAAGTCTCCAACCTCCTGTTGCTTTGCCACGCGAGATTTGTACGGAATGCTTTGAAAGAATCGTAAGCAACATTTTACAGGGTGATAAAATGCTGCATTTTTTCTATTTTGTTTACATATTTATTTTGATACCCTTAACAAGGGGTTAAATTAGTTATTATTGGAATGAAAATGGCTTGGATGCAAGAATAACAAGGCTAAATTGTTTACAACCAACATTGGATGACAAAATGGAGCCGAATTGGACAAAGGTTTTACCTTGTCAATGGTTAAACAGCTAGGATCTGCTTGAAACCTATTTAAAACTTTGTTTAAAATGTGCTTGATACCATTATGTCTGAGCTGCCGTAGATATTTGGAAGGATGTCAACGAAATTGCCAATAAACAGCAGAGTAAATTGGAGAATTTGACCAAATACGTCCATTTGCAGGTAGGTACATTTCACATTATTATTAGGAAAAAAGGTAATGTAGGTCCACTGCTGTTTATCTGAATTTGTAAGTCCCAAATTGACGTTTGACTATGAGTATTACATGGTCATTTTCTTGTGAAATATCAGTGCTAGGCATTTCACACTTACCAATGACCACCCCTAAAAGCACCATCTCTGAGCCATATAAGCACCTCTGAATAGCCAAAGCTTTTATAATTTATTAATTTATTAACTTTGCCAGATTTAAACAATGTTAACACAAAAAACTGGCAGGGCAATCGCAACAGCTTGCGCCAATTACTGCGATCCCTAAATGTTAGACAAATACAATGGTTTGAGATCAATTATGGTTTGGTAGATAGCACTATGGCGAGAGCGTCATTTTTGGGAGTGGTTTTGCCCCGGATTGGGGTTCGGGCAGTGTTACCATGTCGACTGTCATGGTCAACTTGCCCTAAAACAGTCGAGATTATCTGTCCTACATGAAATGCATACAAACTCATATACAGGTCCTAGACTATATGGCTAGTCTATATTTTTGTTCAGACAATTGTGTAATTTGATACAATATTATCGTGTTTGACTTTCAAAGGCCCATAAATCGCTACAATGTTGATGACTATAACTATAGGGAGGAATTAGTTGAATCTTTTATTTCTGAATCGAATGGTGGTATTTCTGTCTTCATAGCATGCACTGAACCTAAGATATGAAATTTCTTGCCATGGCTTGTGATGTGTAAGAGTTAAGGGGACTGTCTCTACCCTAAATTTTGGTTACATGGTCAAAATTTTAAAATTAGTTTCAATTTAGGGCTAAATTGCAGAATACCCATCCACTAGTTACATCATATCATGTAGCTACTATTTCACTGGATAAAAATAATATTTCACTGGATATGTGGTCAGAACTTGTTAATATAATATTTCGCTGGATATATACACGGCCAGAACTTGTTAATATATATTTATTCTTAATAGATTAATAATACATTGATAGATCAAATTTTCATGTTACAGGTAGCTATAAACTTTAGTGGATACACGGATACGTGGATACACAGTCAATTTTATATAATTAAGCGATCAAAAATGGTCAGCGGAAATGCCCATAACTTTAAATCATGTAGCCACAAGTTTTCTAGCCTGCATGCAGATCTAAGGCTTATAGTGCTGCCTGCAGGCTACAACTTTTCTGGATACACGGATACACAGTCAGAAATAGTTAAGCGATCAATAATGGACGGCCGAAATTGTAATGAATACCTTCGGTTTCATATGCGGATAGGCAAGTAAAATTTAGGCAATGTGAAATAAATATAACTGTGTCATAAACGCAAATGACTAATACAATATCAGAATCTCCTACTACAAGTCTACCTTAACCCTAAATCACAAATGATCAATAATTTTCTTAACTGTTATTTGAAATGAATTTCTAATTAAGATGCATTATATAATGGTTTATCGCACGACCTTAGTAGTATGAATAACACAACATTTTTAAAAATTTTAAATCTATAAGGAATGTTTCAATCTATAAGGAATGTTTCGAACAAGTCCTTTCCTTTGTATCGCCACAAGAGCTAAGTGCGATGAGAACATGGATTTTTGCACGCCAAAATTAGGCATCTTTGCCTGTCGCCAGTGACCTTCGATCTTGTTTGTATGATCATCATCTGCATTCACAAATTCTTTTGAGTGATTGACACACTTATGCACATACCTGTGTTTCTCAAGGTTCACATATGCTTTCCAACAGTCTGAGATGATTGTACTACCCTTGGCTATGTGGTGTTGAATTAATGGTAATAAGGTTTTCTGGTCACGCTTCTCAACAGCGACCATAAAACTTCTGTGGGATTCTTCTTCGATTCCTCCGAATACCCATTGTCCTTCAACTTTATGTCCTCTATGGTATTTTCTCTTCCCAAAGTTGCTCTCGTCGATTTGAACAGTCTTTCCTTGTCCGCCGATCTTATCTTCTCTTTCTAAAAGTGTCATTTTGCAAGTCTCTTGGCAAAAGCTATCCCAATCTACCGCGGTATGTTCACTCACATTAACCTCATGTCGGATATTTTCTTGGCTTATGTCTCTGCACCACCAATATGTTAACTTTACAATCTCTTCAAGCGTCAGATTACTTTTCTTGAACCAACTATCTTTTCTAATTGAGACCTCAACCTTATGTTGCTTCCTGTTAGCTTACTTCTTATATTCCCATTTCAACCTGTCAGATCTGTCACTCGCAATAACCAATTTCATCATCTGACTACAGTGGCTGCATTTTCTTTTATTCGCTATTAGTTTTTTCATCCATAAGCCACCTAATCAATATATTCAATATATCTTTATTGCACAGGATTTCATCTTTAAGACGATCATATGACCACTTAACAAATGTTTTATATTGCCGATATTTCTCATAACTTTTGCCCTCACTGCCGCATTGTGTACTAGCATCTTCCCTAGCTTGAGCAGTCCACTCAGTTTGCGACTGTGAATTTAACTTGCCACTATTTGGCTTCTTTTTAATACAAACTTGAATTCCTTTTTCCATTCCTCCACTAATTAGGTTTTTTGTACACGGTTATTGAATTTTTGCTGTTTCTACAAAAAGACTTTTACGCAAAAGTCATCATATCAGCGAACCTATAAAATCTTCATTAGCAGACACACTATTTCAATACATAACACTGTGGTTCTGCTAATCCTTTGTCACACTGACACTTCCGCACTAACGCTTTTTGTCAAAAATATATGTCACCATGTCTTTTTATACTATTAGGGTTAAGTCTTGAAAATGCGAGTCTATTTACAATTCCTTGCAATGTTACTTACTAAACTACAATAACTTTTGGGATTGTTCTTATGAATCATCACACTAATTATATCCCTCATATCTTGTTAAGGATTTTGTCACCTAGCCTATTCTCACTATAATTTTAATAAATACAGTTTATTAAATTCACACTAATGTTCTGATAATTGGAGAACTGAATATATTGTCACAGGCCATAATTACTCCCTACAAAAATATATGGAAGGCGAAATTCTCACAAAACCCACAAAAAAATTTTTCTGACAGATGCTAATTAATCTTAACCTGTCAACGACTCTTTTTCATGCGGTTGCAAGTATCATGTGTGAGAAATGTTACACTGTTATGTTAAATCATGCTTACAAAAGCGCAGCTATAGTTATGTTTGGTCTTCTTACGACCGAAGCTCTCAGTGAAAGCATTTAAGTTAAGGTTATTCAGGATTCAATTAAAATAAATGTCTCTTTCAAATCCAACAACCAAAATCGGACGTCAGCATGAAAAAACTTGGTCGTGTCTCCAGAGAAGATTGCCCACCATGTCATTTGACTACGAGAAAATAATGCCTGAAAATATTAATAATTTCATCAAACATAAAGCAACAAGTGTCAATACCTCTATCGATTATCTCTCACCAACAATCCTGGCCACTATTTCCTATCTCCTGACCAGAGCTAAAGCTACTATATCAAGCGTTAATTACGTACAGCCCACAAACCTGTATACCATATTCGTCGGTTACCCTGGCACTGGTAAATCCTCAGCTATTGAGTATGGATGCCTCAAACCAATGGAGAATGTCCTGCAAGACGATACGAAAGGTTGTCTTCTCGATCGAACAACTTCGTCAGGCTTGGTCAAACATCTAGCAAAGAATGGGGCTGCGTTTATGGTTTATCCTGAGGTATCCGATGTCTTAAACAAACTGTTGAAATCAAACGAGGAAACATGTTCTGGAGACACTATGCTTCTTTGCAAACGTTTCTCGCGCGAACGAATGTCCTTCCACTATGCCACAGAAGATACCAGAGAAATTGATGCAAAAAACCCTTTCTCCATCCTTGGATGTATGCAATTACCAAACACTGCTAAGCTTGTCACCAGAATGGACAATGGACAAAGGACAATGGTCAAGGACTATTGGATCACTTCCACTAGTACTGTGCCCGAAATCCCATGAAATTGAAGAATCCATCGCCAACCTAACGACAAAGCCCATTGACGATCTGCAGGAAGTATATAAAATGATTGTCGAGTTTCATTCCAACAATGGCGTCAAGTATAATCTGGACGAGGAGGCTGAAACTGCTATGAAGAATGACCAAGATTGCTTTCACGGCAGACATCAACGATGCAATCCTAGACGGTGAGACAACACCACCTAAATCTAAAAGGCTAGACCTACTCCCGAGACTGGCACGCGCATTGCATGTACTCGAGCACACCTTGGAATGCACCTTGGCCGGACACGAAGTGGATATTCCCACCACCATAAAGACATGCTCGCTAAAGCTCAATTGTATCTCAACTACGTTGAGAGCCAGAAACATATGTTGTGTGAGTAACTAAAAACTCCTGTACTCTATAAATAATTGCAATAGATGAACCAGGCGGAAAACGTAATCTTAAGATAAATATTAATGCCCGGCAGAAAATGTGCAAAAGACCTATAACAAAATTATAGTATAACATAAATATTTTAAACTATAATTTTATTATGGCTCTTTTACATATTTTCTGATGGGTATTAATATTAATCTTAAGATTACTCTATAGATAATACAGCATATAATCTAGACCTTATACTTGAAATAACTTATTCTTTCTTGTCATAATATATTTTCAGTTCCTGAGATCCAAAACAAAAGATATGCTCCGATGCAGAAAGACCACAACCAAGCAAAGCAAATATCAAGTTGGGTATTTTGGCATTTCCTGGTCCAGTGGTTACCTACCGGGCATTCATCCAAAGCGGTTCCAGTCTGACTAGACGCATATCAAACCAAGAGTTTGTCAACGCTACAGGAGAGCTTAAACCGTTCTATGGTCAGACGCTTAATCCGAGGGTCACAAGGGCGTCTAAACGCACACACATGTGTTTGTGAAGAAAGCACCAAATCAAATACTAGAATGGCCAGGCGATATCCTATGCACAAAATCGCAATTCGATGAGAATTACCAATGACCCTGCCACAAATCCATCAGTTACTAGTTAACCAGAACTTACTAGCGGAGGAACATCTAAACTAGTAATGCTATGTAACCTAGTAAAGAACTTTTAGTATATATATATATATATATTAACATTTCCTCAATATTTAATTGCATGCATAGTTCTTGTTTGGTGTAACATTTAAACCATTCATGGATGTGCATAATTGCTAAATACTTTTAATATTGTAGCTATTGATACACAAGGTGGGAATCGTTGTTAAAAATTAATAAAGGAGCACAGCGAATAATATGAATATGTTTGCGATGCACATATCTGTGCATCCACTAAAATATAGAGCTACCTATATAACATGACAATTTGATCTATTACAGCTCGAACATGCAGGCAAACCAAGACCACTTTTACACATTTTCAGTGATTTCAAACTAAGCCAAAACCAACCAGCATCGGGTTATTTACACCTATGGCTATGTCATAAGTTCATAACCGTTAAATGTTTAGTCAAAATAACCTGCTGGTGATTGGTTTTGGTTTGTTTGAAAACATCGAAAATTTGCAAACGCAGCCTCGGTTTGCCCATTCGGGCCGTAATGCTAACTAACTCTATGCCCTGTTCCCAAAATGACTCATCCACTGCTATCCACGCATGAGAATTTAATCTATATTAACTCATTAAGTTGCAGCAGACTGTTGTAACATTGGCACTCCCCAAGTTGCAAGGAAAATGGCGAATTCTACTTCGCCATTGGTCTACGTCGCTACGAAGTCACGTGAGATAGCGAGCGGGAGTTCGAGCTTCTGTTGCGTAAAGGATTTCGAGCAGACAGCACTTTTTTTGAAAGTTGTTTAAATAATTCATCAGTTATGGCAGAAAATCAGGCGGACGACGATTTCGACGCTGGGGAATCCCATGAAATTCTTGACGAGCCTTGTGAGAACGATTTTGCGAATGCTCTTCTGACTATAAACAGCACAATTCTGACCACGGGCGAATCGCTCAAACGACTACATGAGCAACAGGACAAGTTGCTAAACTCGGCAGAATCTGCCGGAAAAGCCAAATTGGCCAATGTTCGACAGTCTGAATCAGACACAAATGACGCCTCTGACTCAGAGGAGTTACTAGACACTACAGAAAGCGACAAAGCAGCCACCGAAGCTGCTCAAAGCGAGGAAAACAACGCCTTACTAGACGAGATTGAACACTCACTCAACGAAGACAAAAAAACTGAAAATCCCGTCTCAGCGAAACTAGCGAACATTGCCAACAAACGTTGGCTCCAAAAGCTTGGTGATGAACAACTTAAAAAGAGAAACTTGAAAAATATCACCGCCCTGCAAACTGCGAGAAACTCGCCGTGACCCAAGTCAACCCGGAAATCTGGGGGAAGCTTGATCGTTTTGCAAGGGCAAAAGATCTAAAATTTTCCTGCCTTCAGGAACAAGTTACGAAGGTCGGGCATATTATTTTAAAGAGCACAGAACACTTGCTACAAGCAAAAGCTGATAGCTCAAAACTTTGCCTGGATGACCTTGTCAGAATGAATACCGATGCATTAGCATTGCTCGGTCATGTTTGTTTTGAAATCACTCATCGACGACGTGAAAGCATCAAAGCCAAGTTTACATAAAGACTACGCCATGTTGTGTTCGTCTAACGTGCCCGTAACAAATCTCCTGTTTTGGCAATGATCTGCAAACAGAGCTCACGCACATTCGGGCTACAAATAAAATTGGATCCACTGCAAGTATCTCGAGACCTCAAGGGCAAAGTCGAGGTTTTCAAAACCCTGTGCCTCGCCAAGGGCGACCTTTTATAGGGCGAGCGCCTCAGCCGTATGGTCGAACGACGACATACAAATACCTCGGCAATCAGAGGCGCCAATTCAACCACTACAACCATGACAAGAAACGACAGGATCCTCAATCGAGGAAATAAACACCATCATTGAACATTTACCTTCAATTGAGGTGAGCAAATACACAATATGTCTCCCGCGTCTTGTTGAATATTTTAAATGTCAAGTTAGCTCATTTAAAGCTGGGCGAATCGCCCACTACTTAGACACGTGGAAGAAAATCACTTCTGACACAGAAATTCTAACGTCTGTATCAGGCGAAATGATCCCATTTATACGTACTCCAGTTCAGAATACTATCCCTTTCCAACCAGCATGGAAGGGAACAAAAAATTCAATTATTGACAACGAAATATTATCGTTGTTAAGCAAGGTGGTCATCACCCACTCTAACCATGAACCTGGCGAATTTATCTCTCATATTTTTCTTCGTGAAAAACGCGATGGGTCATTTCGCATGATACTAAATTAAAAAAAACTCAATCAATATGTTGAGTACAATCATTTCAAAATGGGAACTGTCTGGACAGCTATTTCTCTGATGAAGCCAGGGTGCTACATGGCATCAATTGACCTCAAAGATGCCTACTACTGTGTTCCTGTTGATCAAGAACACCAGAAATATCTAAAATTTATGTGGAAAGGCACCCTGTACCAATATACTTGTTACCCAAATGGGTTAGCCTGCTGTCCCAGAAAATTTACCAAACTAATGAAGCCAGTATATTGCACCCTCAGGCAGGCAGGCAGGCAGGCAGGCCATTTGTCAGTGGGGTACATTGATGATTCGTACCTCCAAGGGAATGATTATGATCAATGTCTTGAAAACATCAAAGATACAATAACATTGTTTAGCAAATTGGGGCTAGTCACTCACCCAGACAAATCAATACTACAACCCACACAACAAATTGTATTTTGGGGTTTTCAGCTCAATTCCCTTACTATGACAGTTTCTCTTACACCTGAGAAAGCTTGTAAAGTGAAAGATGCTTGTGCAAATTTGTTGATAAATGCTTCACCCACTATACGAGAGGTATCCCAAGTGTTAGGGTTATTAACCTCAAGTATGCCTGGGGTAATGCATGGGCTGGCTGGATATGGATAAATCACAGGCACTACACTTCAACAAGGGGGACTTTGATAAAATTATGGTGTTATCCCCTCAAGCAAAGGCAGACCTAAAATGGTGGGCTGACTCCATAGAAACTGCCTACAATGTTGTGAGTCATGGGGAGCCTGTCCTTACCCTGGCTACAGATGCATCCAAAATAGGGTGAGGGTGCACAACACAAGATACTCCCACTGGAGGCCATTGGACTCCAGAAGAGGCTTCAAATCACATTAATTATTTAGAAATCAAAGCGGTCTTGCTTGGTTTACAGTCATTCGACAAAGTCGTTGGCGGCAAGCATGTCAAAGTTCTTGTCGACAATACCACTGCTGTGTCATGTATAAATCAAATGGGTACATGCCATTCTAAGGATTTAAATTGCTTAGTTATCAGTATCTGGGAGTGGTGCATAATTCATAGTGTCTGGCTAACTGTTGCCCACATTCCTGTTACTGAGAATGTGATTGCTGACCAAGAATCTAGAAAAATCAGATCCGAAACAGAATGGGCTTTAGATTTACGTACCTTCCAAAGGGCAGTAAAAGAGTGTGGATTCACACCAAATATAGACTTGTTTGCTTCCCGCTTAAATACCAAGTGCACAAAATATGTCTCATACCGTCCCAACCCTGGGGCACAGGCAGTCAATGCCTTCACAATTCCTTGGGGTAACCTTCAGTTCTATGCCTTTTCCCCGTTTAGTATTATCCTGAAAGTCTTGCATAAGGTGAATTGTGAGATAGCCACAGGACTCATAGTTGTGCCCCACTGGCCGACACAGTCTTGGTGGCCTTACTTAACAGATATGCTCATTGCAAAACCCATTATTTTACCTAGAAAACCAGACCTTTTGTACCTACCGTCAGAGCCTCAAAGGATTCATCCACTCAGCAAGACAATCAGACTTCTACTATGCAAAGTGTCAGGTGATTACTCAAGGGTCAAGGACTTTCGGACTCAGCTACATGTATCATACTACAGTCCTGGAGAGATGGTACTAGGAAACAGTATACAACATACCTGCGACAGTGGGAACAGTACTGTCATCAGTGGGAGATTGATACCTTTTCAGCAACTGTGACACAGAGTATCAATTTTCTGAGTGAACTTTACGGGAACAATAACCTATTCTACAGTGCAATGAACACAGCTAGATCTGCATTATCCTTGTTTTATTTCCTCCTGAGGGCTGTACATTTGGAAACCACCCCCTAGTGTGCCGACTGCTTAAAGGCGTTTTTACAACAAGACCATCATTGCCACGATTATAATTGTGTGTGGGATGTAGCGATTGTGCTAAAGTACTTAAAGACACTACATCCATTAGAGGACTTGCACCTCCGGGACCTTACTTTGAGAATAACCATGCTAATAGCATTGCTCTCTGGCCAACGTTGTCAAACCATTCACTCGCTGGATATCAGTGATATGCAAGTGGTACGTCATCCAAACCAGCAGTATGTTTTCCAGATAAACAAGCTATTGAAAACCTCAAGACCTGGGAAACACTTCAGCCATTTGGCTCTGCAAGCATATCCGGCAGATGAACAGCTATGCATTTTCAAAACTATTGAATTCTACTTGGCAAAAACGAAGCCCCTTAGGGGCAACCACACTCAACTGTTGATAAGCTACCAGCAGCCACATAAGCCAGTGACAACTGATACCATTGCAAGGTGGCTGAAAACAGTTCTGGACAAAGCAGGAATTGACACTAATATTTTCCATGCACATAGTACCAGAGCAGCATCAACATCTGCTGTAAAGACTGCAAAATTATCTGTTAACACCATCATGATGGCAGCTGAGTGGACAAATGCTTTGACATTTAGCAAATTCTATGATAAACCAGTTATTTCAGAATCTACTAAGAACTCTGAAAACTTTGGACATAACTTACTGCAATCATTAAATATTACATAGAGCAATTTCAGTTGCGAGTTGTTAATAAAAGTTCCTTGTTTGGGTTTATCAATAGAGAATTTGTATTGTTTTTTCTTTCATGCTAATGGCCATTGCTTTCAAATCTCACGCGACTTCGTAGCGACGTAGACCAATGGCGAAGTAGAATTAGAAAATTAAACGAGACTTACCTGGAAGTTGAAGTTTGATTAAAATTCTACGAGTCATTGGTCAGGAGCAAAGAAGTCACGCCCCACCCTTTCACATTGTGGACTAGCATAAACTGCTATTAATAATTACCCTACCCATTATACAGCAGTTCTGAATGACCATTAGCATGCCTTTAAAGACTGAAGCTCGACTTCTTCGCTCCTGACCCACTCTCCTCCGCAGAGGCTTTGTAGATCTTTGTAGTTTGTTTTCTTTCTATATTGTAGTTTGTTTTCTTTCTATATATAAAGTTTGACTATAGAGTTTGCGGGCAGTAGCGGGCTAGGCAGAGAAGTGGGCACGCGGGCGGAGCGAGCGTGCGGGGTTAAAAGGGGGCATCGTGGACCTTTGGAGATAATAGGGAATCACACTACCAAGCTCGCGGGGAAAGACGGGAAGAGGGAAAAGAGAAAGGGAAGCCTCTGCCAAATAATGTTCGGTTCTCTGGTTTGATTTTCGGTTCTGTGGTTTCACACTATTTATGGCAGAAAACAATTGGGATTTGGAGGAACTTGATACATCTCTTCATAACCTTAGTCTGGAAGGTAAGTTAAACGATTTTTGTACAAATTGGTAGATGATTTTATTGATTTCTTTAACTGCTAGTTTTATCCATTGTTTGTCTATTTTATAAAATCTATTGGTTTGTTATATTCTTAACTCACTTAATATCTTTCACATTAATCACATAATTCTTTCACTTTTGAGACTGTATCCCATCTCCATGGATGTGGTACAGAACTTTCTGAACAACTTCGAGCATTTGTAGTTTGCATTGAGTGCAAATTTACTTCTCATTCGTGGATTTATAATATTTATAGATGAAGATGAAGTCGATCTTGGCTGTACGCCTTTGACTAGTACTCCTAAGAAAGACAGTTCTGGAAAACATGCTTTGACTCCGAATTCTAAAAGACAGAACGAGCCATCTTCAAAGAAACTGAATACTTCTGAAAGCCCATCATCTGTTTCTGAATATTCTGGTGACTGTGTTAAGTTGTGACTACTTTATCACACAAATTTATTTTTTCTTGATCCAGGGTGCATTTTAAGAAGTGCAATATACCAAAAATATATTCAACATTAATATAGCAAATTACTATATTATTTGTTTTAGTTTGTGGAAACACCATACTGTATATATTTATGTATAATTTATAGATCATTTTAAGAATTTTATTCTTTTAATTAACATAAATATTATGGACTTTGCCAAGCCAGTGTGATGGAAAGTATATTCCTACCCCATCCCTTGAGATACAACCAGATACATGTAATAGACCTTATGCATAATGACGTCACAAGGCTTGATCCTAGCAAGAAATCCTGGTCTTAATAGTCATCGCCTGGGAAAATTTCGATAGTGGCCATTGTAATATTTCGATAGTGGCCATTGTTTGATAGTGAACTGTTTAATTTTGCCGGGTGATGACTACTAAGACCAGCATTCCTCGCAGGCATCAAGCCTTGTGACGCCATTTTCCCCCAACAACATGAAGTGCATGTCTATGTTTGCCCAAGGGTTTGGGGAAATATATTGACTAGTATTTCAGACCAGTACATTCAACTTTTTCCTTGTGCTTTGACACACTTTTCAATGTTTTATATGCAGGTAATAGAAAATTTGGCTAACGTTTGTTTAGGGACGGACCATTAGAAAAGTGATGGGGGGGGG